AATATCTCATCCCGAGTCGTGCCTGCGCTCGGGGACACTTAGGCCCATTAGACCTGTGAAGAAATTGAATCTTTACAGCGCCGGGGCCGTATAATTACTGTTAATTTAGCGCTCAGAATCTCCGTCATTAGCTCCGAGTCCTGAACGCCGACTGGAAACAGAAGCCGGCTGCCGGTGTTGACAGCCAACGCAGCCCTTTGACTGAATTAACGGCGACCTCTTCGTCTTGTAAGAACAGGACTCGCATCGTTTATGCGTTATTAAGTCCTGTAATTGGGCAGCCAGTAGTTTGCATATTAGTCTATTAGGGTAATATGTTTTGCCTCTCTCAGCACACGGCTTGCCGGAGCCCCTGGCGACACGTTTGATAATTCTCCGAATTACGCTCTAATCATAAGCCAGTGTTCCTTCGATCCCCATAAATCAAACGTGCGTCAGTTTGTGTCTTTGCGTCCTCGACTTAAACATTCAGATTTGATACGTGAACCGAAGTCGGATAAATAAACTGTTTTTATCGTTCGTCTGAGAATAAAATCATATTTATGCTTTTATTTTGTATGAAACGTGAAAGAGTAAGTTTGAAATGACTCATGCAAGTGTTTGTGCATTGACACGACTCTGCTTCATTTTTCTTCTCTGTAGGTTCGTTTTTCGCTGCGATCTGAAGTCCTGCAGCTTTACAGAAACAGAACGACCATAAAGGAGGAGAGAGAAACGTCTTCAGAGCAGAATGACGCCGTCAGGAGGACAGAAATCATTTCTAAACGAGGAGAGAAAATTAAACTAAAAAAAGTGATTTTAAAAAAACAGCTCAGTCGTCTAAAATGACTTGAAACTAGTTCCCAGTGACTCAGAATGTTCTTGTGTTGTGTTGTTTTGTCAGGTTTAGTCTGGTTCCACCATGCTGGATGTGTCGCCACCAACGAGCTCCTCTGCTCACGTTTCTGGTCAATTAGAATCTCTTTGTAATTTTCTGTTGTTTCGTTTCTCTTTTTGTCATTTTGTGTCCCTGTTTTGAAGTTTTGTGTCTCTTTTGTCATTTTTTGTTGAGTTCTGACTCATTTTTGTCATTTATTCTCTCTTTTTTTGCTCCTTTATTATATTATATTTTTTTATTACTTAGTGTCATTTTAGTATTTCTTTTTTGTCTTTTGTTTTGTTTTGTCTTTTTTTTGCCATGTGGTGTTGTTCAGTTTCTTTTTTTTTTTTTGGTCATTTTATGTCTCTTTGTGATTGTTTTGTCTCCTCATCCTGCAGATGTTAAACTATCTCCATGTTTCCAGCCTCTTCAGACGAACCCTCTCTGCTCATCAGCTGTAGAAAGATGTTCCACCATCAAATGTAGAAAGATGTTCCACCATCAGATGTAGAAAGATGTTCCACCATCAGCTGGATGTATCTCCACCAACTGGCTCCTCTGTTCTCTGGTTCTGATCCATGCTTCATTCATTTATTGATCCAGTCGGTTGGATTTTCTTCTCAGTCCCTCTGAGGAAACACTGGCTGCAGTTCAGCTCACAAACTCTGAATGTTTTGCTGTTGTTCACAGCAGTTCAAAGTGATTTTGATGAAATATCACAAGTTTATATTTGGTTGTCGTGGTTCCTGGAAACCTGACAGCTCTTCCTACTGAGTCAGTCATGGATTCTCAATTTGCAGAATTTCTTGTTGTTTTTACAGAATCTGGTGCAAATGCTTCATTTTTGGTGAATTATTTAAAAAAGAGACACGTAGAATGAAGTGATTTCAAATCAAACGTCACAATTTTCAACCTAGTTTTGGTTTATTTTGCCGACACGATTGATTCAAAACGTTGAAAATCAAACCATTCTTTCTATTTTTACAGTTTCTTGCTTACTAACGGTGTCATTTTGCAGATTTTTTAAAACAGATAACACGTCTTTCAGCCTCACTGTCGGCTCACAGGGTTCAACGCTGCAGTAATTTGGATTTTTTTGTGTTTTTCGACCTTCCAGCTGCTGTTTTCCACTATTTTCTCTACAAAAGTCCTTTTTTCAAGACTTGAAAAGCAAAACAACAAAAGACGATTTGGTTTTTTTTTTTTAAAACAGAATCTGGTGCGAACTGGTTATTTTTGGATTCTAAACTTAGATTTGGTTAATTTTCCTGACAAACCTGCACATCAGGCATCCTGACGATTCTCTTTGTTTCCGGTTGATTCAGTTCAACTTTAAGACTTGAAAGTTTGAGTCAAATTCGACGAGCGAGATCAGAGTTTTCTCTATATTGTGTCTGCAAGTTTCTACCAGTTGTAGAAAATACTGTAGAAATATAATGTAGAAATACTGATACGATGCTTCAGAACCGTTCATCCTGCACAATCGACCTCAGACTGTTGGGTTTGTCCATTTTCAACCCAACATTTTTCGTGTGTAATAATTTCTACACGTGATTTCGTTGATAAACTGTTTAAATGTTGTCGTTTATGGCTCTGAGTTTGCAGTAATCGTACCCGTCTGGTTCTGCATCCAGTCTGAAGGTGAAACCTGGATGTCGTCGGTCCTTCGAGGCTCCTTTAACCTCCATGTTTTACAGCCGGTGGCCCAGTTTGCACCAATAAAATCACACATCTCCTAAACACCAGTAGTTTGCCAAAGTAGGTCCAGGGACGCCCCCGGGGGGTCTGGAAGGGATTTCAGGGGGACTCAGCAGAAAGAAGAATAGTTTAATTTCAACAATCGCTGCATTAATTTAAGGATGAAAGCAGCCGCGTGCTGCAGAGCTGCTGCTCCGACGGCCGCTTCCTCACCAGCGTCACCTTCAGGATCCTCAACCTGCGACTCCTTCGTCCGACGTTCGAACGTACAGTCGGGAAAATGTGCAAAAAACATCGGGAGCAGTGAGACGGCGACTGGTGGAGGAACAAAGTCCAGCTGCTTCCTACAGTGTTTGGTAGTTTAAGTAAAGAACGCACCAAAAACATGGCTGAATACGGTGACGTTTTACAGACAGAGTTACACAAAATAGTTGAGAAAAGTGCAGTCGAGTTATTTGTTGTGTTGTTCACTAGCTGTTTGTGATAAAGGAGAACCTTTGGAGCAGCCGCTGATTCAGGTCAGATCCGCTTTAGTTCCTCTCAGATGAACAGTTTACGTTGCTTCAGCTTCATTTTGAACAAACTCTGCGTTAAGTTTCCAGCTCAAGTGTTTGCTTTCCTCGACGTAAACATCATTTTCTGAGAACGTCACTTCAGTCGCAGCTGAGACATGTGAAGAACCCGGTCACTGTGACGGAGCGTAAAGTTTTTAAAACTTAAAGAGACTAAATGTAGTTTCAGCTCGATAGAATCCCCAAACAGAAAAAGATGAACGAGGAGCTGTTTGAGCTTCACCTGCAGCTTAAGGACACGTCTGTTTAATTAGCTAATGACTTTATTAGCTAGTTTAAGCAAACAGTGATGCATTTTATTATGTTTACGAGCTTAATCTACAGATTAGGTGGTGACTACATACACACAGAGGAGGAGCTGTGATGTTTTGTTGGTAAAGTAGTTTAAAATAGTCACGAAAAGTCTCCCAAAAAAAATGTGTTGAAGTGGTGTGACCTGTAGAGAGGTGTGTAGGACGAACTGGACACCCGGAGAGCTTCCTGCTTTAATCAGCGTCGTTAAGCAGCGACGCAGTCAATTCCAACGAGTGTAGTTTAAGTAAATAACAATGTGATGAGGGATTTGATCTGCAGAGCACCTGAAGCTGTCCATAGTGGAGCAGAAAGTCTCACAAAGTAGACGAGAAAAGTGTCAGAAATGTTTCTAAGAGCGGGTTTTCTGTGTTGCAATTCAAATACGGACGCGTTATTGGTAAAACGTATATAAAACTTTGTGTTTCAGAGATTAATCTGCAACTTAACGAACATGGCGGAGCATGAAGTCATCAGGACAAGGCAGGTGGAGGTAAGTTGTGTCACTCACTGATGTGTTTTTAAGTTTGGAGTTTTTGCACTAAACTGGACACTTTGTTGGTGTTGGAGAGTCTTATGAGCAAAATGTGCACAAAACATGTCAAACCTGTGAGTGTTGAAGCTAAAAACATGCACCTTCATGTGTTTCAGAGGAACTGCGGTTTTGAGGCAGATGTTTGGAAAAAAGGCATCTGGATTCAAAAGTAGTGTGAACATGTTACTTGCAACATGTGCGCAAAACGTTGCAAATATGTGATTCCAGCGACTGTATTGAAGCTAAAACCCGCACCTCAGTGCGTTTAGGAGGCAAATCTGCGGAGTAACTGCAGCTGCGGTGGAGTGACGGCGGAATAAAGTTGAATTAAACCGTAAGAAACGCGTGACTTCTTACGTGTGGACTCTTGTGTTTGAGCTTTATTTCGCTCCTCGGATGTTCAGATTCTGGGCCTCCTGCTGCTGCTGCTTCGGTCGCAGGTTCTGGAGGTTGAGCTCGTGCCGCTGCGCGTCCCAAAGTTTACCCAACAGGCAGGTGGACGAGCGTCGGTGCGCGCAGAGCTGCCCCTCCGCGCTTGGCCCCGGGTCGCCCTCTCTGCGCGGCCCCAGCGAGCCCTTTGGAAGGCGCGGATTGCAGCTGTGACGTGGGCGTCGTTGTTCCATTCAGCGGCTTCGTCATGGCAACGGGGCAGAAGCTGGAAGCACGCAGCGCCTCTCCCTGGACCGCGTCCTGAGGGCACACAGGCAGCTGGAAGTTGCTCTCCGTGATCCGTGCTCGCTGCTCGTCCACGCATTCAGCCTCCAACTCCGTGGATCAGAATGAACTCGGACGTTTCCGCGAGTTAATGTGCAAACTCTGCTTATGGCGTGCAACTTTTACGCAGCGTTTTGACGCACGAACCAGTAAACGTGACCCACTGACCTACATCAAAGTAGTTCCACCAGAGGAAGAAGGTTTTTTTTTTCTTCTTCCTACACCCCAGATTGTGTGTTTACACTCACTCACTCGGCGCTCTAACGTGCTGCAGGACCGCTACTATTGTTGGGCAGAGTGATTGGGGTTTCTGTACAATCTCCCGTGACCAATGAGCGGGGTGCTGTCAGGGGTAACCACATCTGTCAACCGTTCTTGGCCAATAAAGAGCGGAGCGAGGCGGACCACAGGTGCGCGCCTCTGCGTCCCCTTGGCACAGCGCCCGGGAGATGCTGGAGAGAGACGCCGAGCTGCCCCGTGGCGCAAAAGAGTTCCTGTCAAAGGCAGCCTCCTTTTAACTCCACGCATCACTCCGGCTCGGATAGTTATGGCGACCGCAACGTCCAACCACTACAGCGTCCTCAGCACCCCCAGCAGCGCGCCGCCGCCGCACTCGGAGTCCGGGAGCATGCAGCAGGCGGCAGCGTACAGGGACGCGCACACCCTGCTCCAGAACGACTACAGCACGTTACCGGGCGGTGGACATCCGCTCAGCCACGCGCACCAGTGGATAACGGCGCTGTCTCACGGTGACAGCGGGGCGCCGTGGCCGTCGAGTCCCCTCGGAGAGCAGGACGTGAAGCCCGTGCTGCATGACAGTGACCGAGAGGAGCTGCAGAACTCCAGCAGTCTGCAGCAGCAGCAGCAGCAGCAGCAGCAACAGCGACACCCTCACCTCGCGCACCAGCAGGCGCATCACGACGCCAGAGCATGGCGAACCAGCACAGCCAGCACGCACATCTCCGCCATGGCGACGTCTGAGGGCCAGAGCCTGGTCTACTCCCAGTCCGGCTTCGGGCTGATGCCGGGGGGAGAGCAAGGGGGGATGCACCACCACCCCCTGCGGGACGAGGACCACCACAGCCACAGCCCGCACCTCAGCGAGCACGGAGGCGGCCCCGGGGCCCACCAGCAGTCTCTGTCCCACCACCACCAGCACGGGGGCCACCAGGACCAGTCGGACGAGGACACGCCGACCTCGGACGAGTTGGAGCAGTTCGCCAAGCAGTTCAAGCAGCGGCGGATCAAGCTGGGCTTCACGCAGGCGGACGTGGGTCTGGCGCTCGGGACGCTGTACGGGAACGTTTTTTCTCAGACCACCATTTGCAGGTTCGAGGCGCTTCAGCTGAGCTTCAAAAACATGTGCAAACTCAAGCCGCTGTTGAACAAGTGGCTGGAGGAGGCGGACTCCACGTCGGGGAGCCCCACCAGCCTGGATAAGATCGCGGCACAAGGACGCAAAAGGAAAAAGCGGACCTCCATCGAGGTGGGCGTCAAAGGCGCTCTGGAGAGCCATTTTCTCAAATGTCCAAAACCGGGAGCGGCGGAGATCAACTCGCTGGCGGACAGTCTGCAGCTGGAGAAGGAGGTGGTCCGGGTCTGGTTCTGCAACCGGCGGCAGAAGGAGAAGCGGATGACGCCGGCCGGGGGACAGATCCCGGGAGGAGAGGACATGTACGGGGACACCCCTCCGCACCACGGAGGACAGACTCCGGTGCAGTGACCGGAGCGGGACGCGGGACCCCTGGAGGAGGTTCTACCGCCTCCCCGTTTGTTTCGTTCTCCGAGCTGGACCCGCTCGGAACTGGACCGCGGCCAGGTTTTTGGTGTTCGGTGGCACCGGGGCGCCAAAAAAAAAAAAAAAGAAGAAGAAGAACCACAGACTGGATGGATGGAGGCGCACCGAGCTGCTGCAGCAACCAACAGAAAATCACAAAAACTACAAAAAGAAAAAAGAAAGAACAAAAAAAAAAAAAGAACAAAATAAACGTTTTCCGGCTGAATGTTGGACCGAGCGGCGCCGCGGTGCCGTCGGGTCGCGAGCAGCGGCGCGTCCACCGGGGGACGGACCGGGAACAAAGCTCGGGGCAGGAAGGTTTAGTCGCAGCCGGTGTGGGTAAATAAACGCCATCTTTCCATCATAACAAAAGCAACAGGGGTTCTTCAGGAGCTGAAATGGCAGAAACCTGCTGAACGACGTTCAAACCGACCAGAACCAGCTGCTGCAGCCGCACACCGTCCACACCATCATCATCATCATTATTATTATTATTATTATTATTAT